TCTCTATTTGCAAACAGCAGGTCCAGCAAGGTGCCTTCCCTTCTTGGTTCCTTTACCAGCTGTGTCAGGAAGTTATCTTCCACACATTGCAGGAACCTCCAGGACTGTTCCCTCTCTTCTGTGTTATATTTCCAGCAGATATCTGGGAAGTTGAAATCCCCTACAAGTACAAGGGGAAGTGATCACGAGGCTTCTCCCAGCTGCCTATGGAATATTTTGTCTATTTCTTCATCCTTGTTAGGTGGTCTACAACAAACTCCCACCACGATATCTGACTTGTTGGCCTTCCCCTTGATTCTCATTCATGGGCACTTGATCCTGTTGCCACTGTTGTCAATCTCTAGGACAGTCAAAGCATTCCCTAACATACCTGGTCACCCCACCGCCTCTCCTTCCTTGCCTATCCCTTCTGAGGAGCTTATACCCATCAATGGCAGCACTCCATTTGTGTCACTCATTCCACCATGTTTCTGTGATGGCTACTATATCGTAGTTACCCTGATGCACAGTAGCTTCCAGTTCCTCCTGCTTATTGCCCATGCTGCGTGCATTGGTGTAGACACACTTCAGTTGGGCTAAAGGCCCTGCCACCTTTTCACAGGGAGAAGCCCTAATTTCTGCCAGGCCATTTTCAGGGACTTCTACGGTTTCTAACCCGTCAGTAACCCTTGCACCTTGGTTGCCGCATGGAGCTCCATCTCCTACCTCCGCTGGGACGGTAGTCTGAAGAGTCTCACTAGCGCACCTTCCCACACGTCTGCGCTCCACCCCCAGGCTCATCGCTAGCAAGTTGTGTTATATCCCCTTCCCCCCCCCCCTCAAATCTAGTTTAAAGCCCTGATTGTGAGCTTATATTTGAAAGCAGTCTAGCTTTTTATAGTTGTCATTTAAATGCAATCTTTAGAAATATTAACTTTCAGGTTTAATTACAAAATTGTGCTTGTATAGAAGTTCTGATAGATGTCCTCCTGTTGCTGGTCAGTTAAAATATAACTGCCCATCCCCACCTATTCCTCTAACTTATTCAAGTTACAGCTCCCCAAATTAGCTTTGTTTTCATCACCAGTGAAGTTGTGATTAAGCTTATAAGGTTGATTGTAACTAGAGAGGCTGAAGAACATACATGCACCCTTTTCTGCTGTCCCTGCTGTGGGAATGGGGATTCTTAGGAGAGAGAATTTATTAGAAGACAATTTTTAGAGTTTCTGTATTTTCACACAATTTTTCTTTAACATATGTCTGAATAAGATTGATTTGATCCAGTTCAACAATGAGGGCAGTGGTCAGTTTTAAAATGAAGAATGGCCTTTCAAAAGGCCAAAATTTGCCTTTAGGAGACACAAAGTGCATACATTTATTGTACAAACAGCAAGAACATGTGATATTGTTTGAGAATGAATTGTTAATACCATATCCAGTCAGAACTACAGGGATGGGTGACCATTGTCTAAGCTTGAATTTGACTAGTTTATTCTGAAATTACTTTTTCCCTACATTCAATGGCTGTCCAGGATCAGTACTTTAAATTTCAATTCTGAAAGGCCGTACAGAATCTTATGTTCTCATAGAAAGAATTTATTACTGGAAATGTTGGATGGCTTTATTGCCAGCATGACAGATTGATTTATAGATTCTTTCAGTACTGTGCTTGCAAAAGTGAAAGAACAGTCAAGATAGCAGCTGTTCATACTCTTGTTAATAAAGACCTTCATGACCCAGCAGAGGTCAGAGTGCTGTTCTGCAGAGTGCTTTGTAGAACTCTTGATATGGGGTTATTCTTGCTTTTTCTGCTATTGGGACTGACCACAGAGACAATGGACAGAGGAAAAAATATCACATTTTGCAGATGGGGAGTTGAACCACAGAAAAATTTTAAGGTTGTGAATGCTTTAAGCTACCATAGCTTGGTCCAGCTGCCAAGCAAAGCAATCCTGTTGTTCCTTCAGCTGCTCATTTCCTTCCCCACACTGCCCCATCCTTTGTGTTGGCACAGATGTATGTGTAGTTTTACAATGCACTGTGTTGTTGAGGAACTGATGCATTTGAAAAGTAAAGCCTCTCCTTCTGGGTTGTTTTTAAAAGCTGGATGAGTTTCCCAATCTTATTTCATCTCATAGCCATGTAAATGCTTCTGCTAGCACAAAGAAGAGAGTGGATTATGGAAATAAAGCCCGTGAAAGGACAGAGCTGCTTTTCTCAAAATGAGTAGTGCCTTACATCATATCTAAAGTGCCTGACAAACCTGCTCTTGCAGGTGAAGCATAAACTCATCAGAGGCTACGCTGCTGCTGCTGCTAGAGTGATCCTCCTACCTGACTCCTCAGTGTTAGCCTTTTCTCTCTGATGTGACCAGCCCCCCTTCCCCCTCTGCCAAAAGTGAATTCCACTCTAAATAAAGTCCACTTCAAATTACTTGTTCCTTTTAACAAAATAGAACACACTGAAATTTTATGTGCCTGCTGTGTTTGCCTGAAGCTTGTAGCAGAAACAGTTCAGTGGAAAATGGTATTTTAAATGAAAGGAGAAAAAGGAAAGTAAAGAAAAACAACTGAACTCCATAAACTGTTGGGAAGCTCTAGCATCATCTCTGGAGCAGGCACTTGACATTTGGTGGTTATGTCCCTCCTTCCCCCCTTCCTTAAAAGGCTCTCTTGCTGCTTCTGTGTAAATCCTGTTACATTTGATTGGATTATCAAATGAAAAAAACAATTGTTTACATAAGATGAGAAGAGGTTGCTTACAGCACAACTCTCCAAAAATGTCTTTGCTTCTGAACATGCTGCAAATCATCAAAAGGTTCCATCCTCTTACAGCAGGAAACTTTGCTGTTACAACTCCTTGCAGCTATAGATTATCTGTGGAATTGTACACCAGAACTGGGAGCAGGGAGGGGGCAGGTAGAAAAGCCAGAATAGTGTTGTTAATAACTGTATTATAATGCAAATGCATGAGGGACGAGAGTTAAAGTTGTGCAGCAGAACTTAAGGCTGGCTTTTCTTAAATCCTGAATTTGTAAGTAAATTTATCTTCCTGTAAGAAATTATCTTGGAAGTTGTATTATATTGCACAACAGCAATATAATAAAATAATAAAATAATTTTTAAAATGTTTTTTTACAAACCACATTCTTCTATTGCTTTTTCCTGGTTACATGAAAATAAAGTTGCATCCCTCCAGTCAGTCTTGTAGTGATGGAAGACACAGAGTCTTTTGTTCCAAAATGTGTTTCTCATTGCATTACTAAACTTGTAATACAGTCACATATTTCAGCCTGGGCAAAATGACTCTTCCTTGTTGGTTTTTTTAATGAGTTTTCTCCTTTTCTGTCTATAGCTTCTTGAACTCAAGTCTAGAATGGTCTCTAAAGAAGCCACTTTTCAAGAGCTGAAGGCTGACGTGGAAAGCTACAAGGAAAACAATGCTAGACAGATGTCTCGCCTCCTGTCTTTGCAAACTCGAGTTCAGGAGATGGAGGAAGAGGCGTGTGTGCTCATCACTTCTAAAAACCAGGCTGAGCTGACAGCTCAGGCAGCATTCAAGGAAAACCAGGAGTTGAAGGAGGAGCTTCATGAGCAAAAGGCCAAACTGAAGTAAGATTAATGTGGGATGAAAAACAATTTTTATTTGGGATGACAGAATGGTGCAGTTGTTAATGCAGAAAAATATATTGATGGACAGACTTTATTGCAGATCTGAATTCTGTTACAGTGCCCTGCACTACTCTTGTACCTAAGTGTGTGGAAGGTGTTGAAATTTGAATTTTGGTTTGAGCTGTTAGCCCATAAATGGGGTTTTGAGATTCTTGACCTTCAGAGGAGATTATAGGAGTCAGTTTGGTGTAACATTGTTTACAAAAAATGGGCAGGGGGCTGTTTGTCTCAATGCAGTATAAACAATACATATGGCTTCCTCATTCAGGTATTTCCATGTATGGCACTGAGGCAAACTTTGTGATGGGCAGTCCATGCAACTACAGTCTAGTGCCCTGGTCTACCCTCATCACATGGCATCTTTTGCAGACATTAATCTGCAAATTAGCTTGATGTGCTTCATGGGCTGTGCTTGTGCAGTCTCTTTTCCCCTCTTCTGTGTCACAACTGGAACAAGAACAGTGTCAAGTGTATGTCTTCTGTAGTGTAAAGCTGTCTTTTAGGAGCAGTATAATAAAGAAAATATGGTATAATTTCCTACTTATTAGCATCCTAAGGGAGAATTTTAATGTTTGTTCAGCTTTCAGTAATGCTAGCTTCGTCTGACTTTTGTTTTCTTCTGGACATTGTTTTGTGGGGTTTTGGGTTTGGTTTTTTTTTGTGTGTTTTGTTTTGGGTTGTGGTGTTTTTTTAAGTGCATATTATTGCATAAAACTTTTAATAAAATATAGTATCCTTAACTATATTGTTCTTAGCATAGTGTGTCAAGAGCACTGATCTGCCAGTTCTGGATAACTGCTAATATTTCAGGTCTGTGGGATGGAGACTGATAGTAATGCTGATCACAAATAAAATTGATTGTTGCTAAAATATTCTGAACTCTAAAATTCCAAAATTAGTGTCAGTCATAGCATGTTAATAGACACCTTGTAGACTTATAATGGCTTTTTTCCACCACTGCAAGGCTAATAGCCATGTCTTTCTCAACATTGTCTAATTAAAAGCAAGGTGAGTCTTCACTAGATGTCTGTGTTTCCCAAATCAGTATTTTACGCAGCTGTTCCAGATTTTGTGCGTTAGAAGTGGATAATTAAGTTATTGTAAAATCCAGAGAAATCCATGCAGTGCACTTTTGTATTATCAGCCGATTTGCCTGGAGAGTGCTGATGTTGATTGCTAAAGATTTTAGATATGATCGCAATAGAAGTGAGGACATAGTTATACGAGTTATACAATAAGTATAATATGCATCCTAATGACTAGAAAACATCACAGTCTCTGAGGTAATGATTAAGATTCTTTAAAATGCTACTTCTAGGAGGAAAAAAAAAAAGAAAGAAGAAAAAAAAGGGAGAAACGCCTCTTATCCTGTTTGCCTCACTCCCTGGGAGAAAACTGCCAAAATACAGTGTATCTTACTAGCCTATCATTACAGTGATATGATCATTTTTATGTAGCATAAATCCCTACTGTCAGTCCCAGTGCAGTCCTGGCTGCTCTGTTTTGCCCATGACACCTGTGTCAGTACTTTTGTTTGTGTTGCTGCATGGTGATCAGGACCAGGGAACTGCTCCAAGAGAAGTGGACAAAATAAAAAGCTTTATTTCCAGCTCTATGAATCCCAGTTCCAGTTCACTGTGCACCAGGAGTGTACCACTGGAGTGCTGGCAAAAGGGAAGGGACAAATGGAGGGTGAGTGTGCTCTTTTGGAAGGAACAAATGTTGGATTGGTCATGAATCTACAGTGTGTGATTTCAAAGTGTTTTCTTATCCTCAGCTAGTGGTGACATGTGCCACTTAATACTAGTCAATGTATTGACTTAATGAATTTTAGTTGCTTAGTTTGGCCACCTCAGTAGTATGTGGCAGATGACTAGTCCTGACTAGTTAATATCAAGAAAGATATTAACTGAAAACTAATAATAAAACGGAAGAGCAAGCCAGTAGGCATAAATGGCACATTTACATTCTATACCTGGGGATACAGTAAAAAACATTTAATGAGTTCTGATTGGTTTCCAAGATGTACATGTCTCCTATAGAAAAATACTGCTTTTCTACTCAACATATTACCAAGGTATTTTTAGAGCCTGAACTGTGAAAAGCTTCCCTCTCATCCCTTCTCTTTGCTCATTAGTTCTGAAGAGCAAGCAAAACCGTGAAAGTGCTTCATTCTACTTTTTTTTTTGTATCTGCCTATTTCCTAGGTACTTACACCTTTATGGCCCTACTGTAGGTAATTAGGTTATTTGTTGAGTTGTCAAGTACGTGTTTTTTACTGCAGATTGTTTATTTTTAGAAGCAGGCCTGGTTCTGTGTGTGATGTGCCTTAATTTTTTCAGAGCCACAGAACAGTTTGCAGGGTTGGTGGTCAATTTCATGTGATATTTTAACATATAGGCATGTCTGGAGCCTCATACCTTTTCACTTCTGACACAGCCCTTCTCAGGACAGCAGTTTAGCAGCCATCTCACAGCTTCGTTTTGCTGGGGCTATAGAGGAGAGAAAGGTGTGCAGAGGGGAGGAAACTGTGAGGCACCTGTTTTCTGAGGACCAGTGCCTGCTGCAGAAGGCAGAGCTCTTTTGGCTCATGGTGTGTGCTGTACATGGAATATCCTCTTCCTGTCCAGAGCAGTAATTAATGTTTTCCATTCCTCTCTGTTTTAATTTCACTTTGCAACATTGACAGCTGTGCTGATCTCCCTCCTAAGGCAACATCTTCATTTTTTTCATGGACCATCTCTTTTGCTTAGTGATTTATAGACATCTACCATACTGTGTTTGCACTCACTGTGCATTTCCTGTAGAAATCTCATGCTGCTTTTTGATTGAGGAGTGATGCTCTGTTGCCTGTTTGATTGCCAGCCTAGAGAGGGAAAAATCAGAAACTGAAAAGAGTGAGTCCAGAAATTACTGCCATGACCACCTTGAAAACTGAGACTAGTGCTATGCTCCGATAAGCAAATTAATTTCAATAAAATATTTGCTCTGGACAGCTGTATCTTGCATCTTGTTTTATTCTAGTGTTCAAACCTTTGTGAAGAACTGGCTTTAGAAAGTACCTTGTTTCTCAGCTTGAAGCTGAGTAGTTTCACATTCAATTTTTACCATGGAGTGCCTACCTCATAAGTGTTATTTAAGAGGTATTGGAGTTGATATTTGGATTACACTAATGGTCATTTTGAGCTTTGTTTTGTTGGCTATTTTTGTTAATCTATTTCTTTGTAGTTTTCCAGGAGTGGCGCTCAGCATTGCAGCATTGCGAGCAAGGTGTAGATATCTATGCCATCTGCGCAGATGGTGGCAATGCTTGTTTGCTGGACTTGTCTTTGCCCCTGGCAGCAGGAGGGATGTAACCACATTTATACCAATGAGTTAAATTGACCGCTCTGTTATTTGACTGTTCATTCTTACAATGATTTTACGAACTAATACCTTCTGTTAAGGCTGATAACACATGTTTCCTGTGGGAAAAGTATCTGCATGATAGGCACCTTTTGAGAGTGATGAAATTGATGACAAAAAGCTGTCTTTTCTTCATACTTTTGTGGTAGTTCCTTGATATTTTCTTTTTCAATGGATCCTTTTAGCCTGAACCTAGTTTGCACTTTTTTTGCCCCTCTTTGCCTTTGTGGGTAGTGTTATGCTGCAGAAGACTGCATGTACAGCAAAGTAGTGTCTCCCATCTCTGATTTTGTTGGTAAACTTCCTTCGCAGGTACTCTGGATGATCTACACTCCCATTAGTCCGGAATGTTTTCCTTTTCCCCAGAGTCTGTTGATCAGCACCATCAGCTTCATTAGAGAGAGAGGGGCTGTGAAGTTCTTTTAGCATATTTTTACTATAATTTGATTGCTCTTTTCCCCTTTTTCTAAGCTTTTGCTTGCAGTCTCCATTTCTAGTATCTTGAGGGCACTGTTTATTTATGTTACCTGGTTCTTGTGTTTTATTACAGAATTATTGAGGCTGGAAAAGACCTCTGAGATCATCAAGTCCAGCCCATAAAATTATTGAAATCTGGTGCTGAGAATGAGGTTGGGATCATAGATTTATAAGGTTCTTTAATATGCTGATCAAAAGCAAAGGTTAATAAATGTTTACACACAAGGCAACAATAAAAATTTTATGTATTAAATAACAGATATAGGGAATTCTATGTAACTTTAAAAATTAATTTTGTGGTATGCAGAAGTTAATGGGATAATGTCTTTTGCCTGGAAGTCTTTTTCAGAGAATATTTATCCTGATTATGTATTTTTTTTCTATCTGATTAGTAAATATTTGAATGAGTGTGAAGAAAGCATGACTCAAGCTTCTGAAATCAGCAGAAAATATGGAGAGCTCCTTACACAGCTTTCTGGATCCTTAGACACAGACATCAGAGAAAAAGAGAAACCACAGGAACATTTAATGTCAAAGGTGATTACGTGTAGGCAAAAGTTTATTTACAGTGATTTAATAGGAGAATATTTGGTTGTTGAAGAAATAAAGCAAATGACAAAGACAGAAATCTTTCTGTTAAATAATGATTTGCAGAAAGTGCTGTCATTCAAGACAGATTTTTTTGTTTTCATTTGGGCTGATTTTCAAATGCGCTGAATACTAATAAACCTCAGTGAGCTCAGTCTGCTCTTATCTGCATACTTATTTTATCAACCTGTAGCTCCCTAGTACAGCTCTGATTAGATACGTGGTTGAAAGCTTTCCTGAAAACATTAACACTAGGAGTAACTAGGTGACGTGTAAACTGTACCACTAGATCTTAACACTTATCTAGAGCTGACATACCATTAAATAGCAGCATCTGAAATGGCATACCCTAAAACAACCTCAAATATGCACGGTAACAAAATGCTGTAAATAACTGTGTGGTGGTTTTGAGACTTAATCATAAAAGTTTATTATTTCCCTTCAGAAGACTTCTGAAGGTCCAAAAACTAAGCTTCCATTTAGGAAAGGAAAAATGTTCATATATTCTTTTAACCTTTATCGATGCTGTTGGAGGGCAATTTATACTAATTTTAGGCATTTTTCTCATGTTCTGTCTAGTCTTTGCTATCCTTATTTTTCTTCACTTGGGAGCATACTAGATGTTTTGGGAAATTCTGCTGTGTTATATTCATACTTGTATAAAAGTTCTGTCTATCAGGGAATAGTTAACAAATTAAGATTATCTAAGTATATATCACAGTGATTTCTTAGAAACACATTGAAATTGTAATAGATACTTTAACAAAACTCGGCTAATTGTCTTTAGAGGCAAAGATATTTGTATTAAGCTGTAACTTTAACATGCTTTAAGTTAAGGAAATAATTGGAGTTTTAAAAAAAATATATGTTGGCATCTTGTTTTAACAATGTTAGTAATAGATCTAGTTGGGAAATCTAATTTGTGCTGAAAACTGTGTTTATTAAGAAAACTTAGCAAATAATTTTTCTGTTTGGGTCATGGCATCTCTATATAGCTTCTATTCCACATTATGGTTTTGTTTACGACAGTATTGATCTGGCTTAGTCTTAATAAATGTCTTGCCAGTAGGAGTCAGGGTACGTTTTTTTACCTCATGCACTTTTTGAATTGCCCACATTCATCTATTTCACTTCTTGAAAATAGTGTAATGTACCAAAACAGCCCTAGAATCCTCCTGGAAATGACTCCTTTTTCCAAGGTGTTGGCTCCTCAGAATAACAGCCCACCAGGTATTTAGCCCTCCTCTTGAATATGTTTATGAAAGAGCTGTTGTTAACTCAAATCTCATGCCTAAAAGGTTTCAAGCATAAAATGCAGCTTTCAGTTTCTTGTTCCAAATGAGAGGCATAAATCTTAACAAGCCTAACTAAAGTATTCTGCTTTTCACATGAAGTTAGCTACACGATCTGTTTTCATTTTCTGACCTGCTTCCTGTCAAGCAGTTATGCAGTGACAGTAGCTCTGCACCTGTTTAATAGATCAAAGAGATTGTGTGGGAGTAAATCTGTACCACATTGCACTGAAGTGTGGGTTTCTAGTGGGAATACAGTTCTCATTTTAATTGTCTTTCTACTCTTTTTTGGTAAGGAACAGTAAAGTGCAATTATAAATCGAACTTAAGAGTCACCAGAAACACCATGCCTTTACTGGGATTATTAGGAGCAGGTGTACTGGGATGAATATATGTAACTGTTAAATGGTTTTAAAAAGTTACTAATATTTGAATTATTTCTCGAGGTCTCTGAAATATGCAAAGAAAATCTGACACTAAAAGACGAAGTTGCTGCTCTTCAACAAGCTGTCAATGTCCATGAGATGGAGTCCAAAGCCAGTAGAGAAACTATCATGAGACTTGTTTCAGAAGTGACCAAAGAGCAGAAGAAGGCAGCAGGATACTATCAAGACATGGAAAAACTTAGTAAGGTACATAATTGCATGATGTGTATGTTTGTCTAGTTTTTAAATGTTTTCTTGAAATTTCAAATTAATTTTCAATAGGAGTTGTAAGAGAAAAAAGATGCCCCTTCCCTTGAAGTGTTCAAGGTCAGGCTGGATGAGGCTTTGAGCAACCTTGTCTAGTGAGAGGTGTCCCTGCCCATGGCAGGGAAGTTGGACTGGATGATCTTTAAGGTCCCTTCCAACCCAAACCATTCTATGATTCTGTAAGTGGAAGTAAAGTGCCTTAGGGTGTCTTCCAGATACCCTAGATTATCTTGTTTCACTGTGTTTTAAACTTGCATTTCATAACTGTAAATACTCTCTTGACTCACACCCAAAAAGTTGTAGACAGTGAGATGGTTTGTGCAAGAAAGCACTGTTTTGCTGTGGTAAACACATAGAGGAAATTGCAGGAATGATGCTGAAATTAGAAATGGAAGTTAAGTTGCAAGTCAAGTATTCACCAAATTTACCTAGATGTGATTTAGAAAGGAAAAGGATGTGATTTAAGAATTTAATTGCCTCAGGAGAACTCACCATTAAGGGGTTTTGTACACTGCAGAGGATGGACAAAGTGAGCTTCTGTAGTAGTTCTCTTCATTACTTTGTACTATAGCTGTGGGAAGCCAGCAGTTTACTAAAACCATAATGAAATTTCCTGCAGGTAGTGTGGTTAAAGATGGTGGCCAGAACTTAAGAAAAAAAGAGAAGAAACGTAGACTGCCAAATATATGTAGCTGATCTGTGTGTGATTGAGTCTGTAAATTTTTTAACATAAAGGCAACCCTGTGCAAGTAAGTTTTCAAATGTGATATAACATTTTCCCCACCTCCTTGGCATTACTTTTTCCTTGAACAGAAGCCCCCCACCGTACACTTTAAAGGATAAAGTGTTCTAATTTGGTTGTAGGCAAAATACTTAGGAGATGAGAAATAGCTGACAGTGTGCTCTGGAGAAGAAAGAATTTGTTGTAGGGAAGATAAGTACCACAAGGGTCATAAATTTTACTTACTGCTGAAAAAACTTATTACTAAGCTATGTAAAATTTTCTAAGGTTCAAATGGGACTGAGAGAGAACCTGTATCAAAAACTTCAACGGGTCCTTCTTGAGAACATTACGTTCTCATATCTCACTTCAAACACAGGCGGGCGAGGACGGGCAGAGTGTAGGTTGCTCACTAAGTCTGCCAGTATCAGGAGATGTTTTAAACCCAGATGAGGGCTTAATTTGTGACTTGTTTTGTAAGTTTGCTCTGACTGCCAAAACATTTCCATAGTGGAACTAGTTGTATGAAAAATATTTTCCTTGTCCATATGCCAAACACATAATTTATTTAACCCATTTTACAGAAATGTCTCGCAAAGTTATTAGCGTTACTTTTCAGATGAATTGTGTGCCATCAGGGCTTACCTAGAGGCTGCAGATTCCTCCAGTGCTTCAGTTTAGGTACTTAAATTTGCAGATATTCAGTGAATCTGAGAAGGTTTTGTGTTCAGAGAAGTGTATTAAGAAATTCCGTACTGAAGAAATAAGTAAAAAACCAAAAAGACTTTAAATCCACATATCTAAGGGAGGATGTATGGTATCCCCTATTCCCCTGATAGGTGTCTTACTAGGTTACAGGAAAGGCATTAGCAATATGAAGCTTGTTTGAGTTTGTCATATACTCTGCTACGCAGTTTAAATGAGCACATGAACAGAGTTGCATGTGTTGTGACATGTTTCCCTGTGAAGCCAAAAAGCAGAAATCCATATTGTTCCTGTGCCAGAAGATGCACACGCACACACGGCAGTGTGTTCCTGGACTGTTTTCTGAGCTTGAATTAATGGAATTGCCTGTAGAGAGTTTACCCAGCACAGACTGAGTACAAGTGACTCTTGCCTGTGCTTGTCTGAAGCTCCTAGGGCCAAACATATTGATCATCTTCTGTATTACAGACTGAGATGGTGACCCATTTCCCCCAGTTTGAACAGGTGCCTTTCTGTATGTCCCAGGAGGAGGCAGCTATCTAATGATCACTTAAAACATATTGTAAATTCTGAAATCCTTGATAAAGGAAAGAAAAGACAGGCTGGTTACATTCAAGCAATATTTTAGCAGGTTTTAAGGTTAATATGTGAGAGTAATTCATAATATTTTTTACTATATTTGATACTTGAGTATTTGTTGCAGTCAGCTGGTTTTCATTTGAGCAACATTAACAAGTGAACAATAGCAGCAGAAACAAATAGCAGAAACTAATATAATCTCAAAACTAATATAGGTAAAAATAGCAGGCCATTAACTTGTTGTTGTAACGTATTGCTTTTCTTCTAGAATTCTGAACTTCTCACATTTCTGACCAAATATTGCAAGAGCTTGCTTCTGGAATTCTGTAAATACTGTGCATACTTTTATTCTGGCAGTGTTGGATATCAAATTTGCATTTGATGAAAAATAACTTTTAAATGCTGCCCAGATTTCTGGATTGAGAGTGAGAATACCTTTTCTTTCTTTCTGTATGCCTGGACAGTGATGATTGAATGTGGTAATCATAATTATGGAATTATGACATTATTTGAGAATGTCTGTAGGTCTTTCTCTGTCTCTGGGAGACAAGCAAGCCATGGGAGTAGGATTTTCTCTTTATTGTCCCCCACCCTCCCAGGGGAGGATTGAAAAAAAGGGAATAGAGAAAAAATGCTTCGCACAAGGTTGGAAGTTAAGACTGTAAAAAGTTTAATGAAAAACAACAGGGGAAAGGAAAAGGGAATTAATGAGGGACAAAGGATATTTAACTATATACAAAACCCGATCCCAGCAGTCCCGAGTGGAAGTGTCCGAGCAGGGCCTCGTGGCCGCTGCGACTGCTGTGCCTCGTCATCAGAGACCGCAGTGGTGCCGGGAGCGGGTGGTGGTGGATGCTGCCGAGCACGTGGAGCTAGGCCCAGCCGTCCCGAGATGCGACAGGAAGCAGCCCAGGAAAACAAGGAAAAAAGCCTGCGAAAACCTCGGACCTCCTCGGTTTTTTATGGACTGTGGCCAGAAAGGGGAGGGAACAGTACTGATCTCTGACCCCCCCAGGGTCCTACAGACACCACCTGTCCTTCCCTTTCAGGCTGTTAACTATTAAACTATAACATTCTCAAATGTCTTATTTACTCTAAACAAGTTTCTTGCTAGTATTTAATAAATTCCTATGCAGTATTTATTTAAGATATAGAAGAAGATGCATATATTCTTCCAGATGAATTTGCCTTTCATGTTGCATTGCCATTGATAAACCACAAGAATTAGTAAACTGGCTTGTTCTGTTTCACATCTTCACTCATTATTCAACCTGGAAATATTTGTGTTTCCTTCTGAAGTGTTAATTTAAACATCTGTCTTGCAAAGATATGCACCATGCAATGTCCTTTAAAGAACATATTTGAAATATAATTGAGCAATTTTAAATAATTCAAATAGACCTGCACGTACTAGTGATGCAGAAATTAACCATGAAAATGCTCTTTTGTATTCAGTACTGACTTATATTAAATTATGTTATTAATGAATAAATGTATCTAGGTAGCATCTAGTCAGTAGAAATTTATCCAAATCAATTTATTGTATGAAAATATAGTTAATTAAAATATAAACTTCTTATTTAAGGAAATTGAGTAAGCTTGAGAAACATCCCTACATTTTGAATATACCACGATGCTTTGATTGTAGGAGACACAACCAAATGATTTTAGGTCTTTCTAGTCCCAATAGACAAATGAAGTAATGAATTTCTCAGTTAGAACCTGGATGAATTTTTTTTTAAGATCTCATTAAGAAAATATATGTTAGGAACAGTTTTCAGCAGGCATCACAAATATTTCCAGGTTAAATTATCAGCGAAGACAGGAGAAAAGAGCAACCTAGTTTTGAGTCCGTGTGGTATAACAGTGGTAAGTGGAGATACAGCTGGTATAAGAATTCATCTGGACGATACCGGTATTATCTTTTATACATTATTATTGCTGTTAATGTAATGTGATGATGTTTGGTTTTTTCTATACGTGTGTGTAACTGACTTAGTATGTTGAAACCCTGATGTTGATTGAGGTGCCAGTGATGTAAGTTCAAATATCCTTCTCTGGTCTAAAAACCCTTGACAAACTATTTAGCATAAATACTCTGCTCTTCAAAACAAATGAAAGCCCAAAGGCCCAAAGTTTCCTCTGGAAGTGTAACAAGGGCATTGGTGAACACACAGCTGCTACAAAACATAAAATGGAGGATGTGGACTTGTGGTTGTGGCAGAGGTTGTAGAGTGATAGATGGTGGTGAGGACAGCAATTATGTAGGGATCTGCTACATCAGGCCAAATAACTGTTGTCTAAGCTGAAGTGCTTCTGGCCACACGAAGATGACCAAGGGGCTGGAGCATGTTGTCTATGAGGCCAGGCTGAGAGGGTTGGTGGTGTTCAGCTTGAAGAAGAGAAGGCTCTGGGGAGACCTTTTAGCAGCCTTCCAGTACTTAAAGGGGGCCTACAGGAAGGATGGAGAGGGACTTTTTCATCAGGGAATGTAGTGATAGGACGAGGTGTAATGGTTTTAAACTGGAAGAGAATATTAGATATTAGGATAGATATTAGGAAGAAATTCTTTACTGTGAGGGTGGTGAGACACTGTAACAGCTTGCCTAGAGAAATTGTGGATGCCCTCTCCCTGGAAATGTTCAAGTCCAGGCTGGATGGGGCTTTGAGAAACCTGTTCTAGTGGGAGGTGTCCCTACCCATATCAAGGAGATTGGACCAGATGATGTTTAAGGTCCTTTCCAACCCAAACCATTCTATGGTTCTGTAGTTTTATGTATCCTTTGAGCTTCCATCAGTCTGGAACTTCCTGATTCAAAGATTGCATCTCTGTGTTAACAGCCGATGCTGCTACTGTATGATACAGTATAAACGTTTCACATATAATCTCGTGAAAGCCCTTTAGCAAATGGCCGTGCCATTAGTAGTGAATTTT